AGGCTAACTATCCCTTACAATATAGGACGGATAGTCACTGTTTTAAATGTTTCATAAATTCTAAGGGAGTAATGCCCCGTTTATATTATTTCATAGCATTCTAGCCCAGGTACTCAAAACCAGGACTAAGTACACTGAAATGACGATTGTCTAAGCTAATTCATTTAATTAGGAATTGTTGAAGGGAGAACTTCAGTCACAGTCCATTGAAAAAATATCAGGAAAAAATAATAGGGTGTTTAATTCATACTCTTATAACTCCATTCTACATATCGGGCACTTTCTTTAAAGATGTATTAATTCAGTATTTACTTAAATACTACTTTACTAATAAAGCCCCCCACATTAACTTTTATTTAATTAGTCTGTTCCTTTGAACTAAAACTAAAACCTGTGGAACTGTCAAACTACAGTTTTACAGTGAGAGTAAAAAGAGAACAGATGCGGAAGTGTGCGGGAACGGTTTGTTTACATGCCATTGATACAACATTGATTTCGCTGAAAGATCACTAAATAATTTTTAAAATCTTTGCAATTAAGAATACTTGCGTACATATTCAAATACTTTGTTGTCTGCTTCCATTTCTTAACAAATATAAGATTCTTTGATTTTAGCGCGTTCTGTTTTTGTTTACAAATGGAACCCTGCTTATCGTTTGACACTTTAGAAAAAGATAAACTTCGGACTATATCCTGTAACTTCTGACCAAGAAGAGTTGCTCAGTAACTCTCGCAAAAGTTTTACCAGTTACAGGTTTTTTGTCTATAGGAACGACATCTTGTAAGTTCTGACTAAATCGTGTATACCGGACTATGTATAATGTACAGACATCGGCCTGTTACAATTTTATTATACTAGTGCGGGTTCATATGGTGTTAAAACGGCCAAAATTTTAACTCAAAATTCTAGGAACTATTCTACATATAAGAGCGTGTGTGAATCGGTAACAAAGTTCGCGGTGAGTAAATTTTTGACAAATATGGGGTCAATACAATTTCAGTAGCTTATGAGCAGAGGTGGGCACTACCACACACAAGCGTTCGCTAAAAGTGAGAATGTGTTAGTGTGCCTAATTCAATTTGCATGCTGCCGCGTTCTCCTCCCCTGTGGGGAAAATCTCTAGTTCTGAACTGGTGCGCTTCTAGTACATTTAGACCCAGTACTAGTTCGCGATAAATCTCTTTTGCATGCAAGCAACTGGCGAATTTAACATGGCGATGTCCTAGGAAGTGTCAATTGCCCCCCGCTGCATCCCTTTTTCGATAGTTCCGAACTAGTCCTAAATTCTCCAGTTCTAAAATCGACAGACGAAAGAAAAAATTATCATGATTTGTCAATCTTTCTGATGCTTCCGTGTGTGCGATTTCAAGTTATTTTGGAAGAAATGTATTTTAAATTTGAAATTAAATTTGTTTGAATGATTGTAAGAAATGTACGTTTACATACCTTTAGCTGTAGCTAGGTGGCAGAGGTGCTCGCTGTTATTTCTTAGATTCCAGACGGTCCCAAGATGTTGAAATGTTAACACAAATTTTAGTTTTGTATTACCAAGCTATGAAAAAGCATCTGCGAAGCATAGAATAGGCCCCCGCTGCATCCCTTATTCCATAGTTCCGAAATAGTTCTAAATTCGACAAATAGGATCTAGTTCGTTCTGCATCCCTTTTTCCATAGTTCCGAACCATTTCTAAATTCGTCACTTTAGATATATATTTCTAGTGAAAAAACTGAAAAAATTAGTTTCTTAAAAGTACCACTTTTCGCCGATTTTGGTCTGGTGGGGATCTAGTTCCTATCGGACTAGTTCTTTTTTGGCGATAAAGACCTAGTACGGAACTAGAAATTTGATTCACTAGTCCGCGATTTCCCTGCAGGGTCGTTACGCTCTTGCTTGTATACGTACACGCGATGGTTATGCTCTTTGAGCGTGTGCTCGTTCTCTGCCCATGTCTGCTTATGAGGCTAGTGAAATTTTTGACAAATGCATAGAAAAGTTTGACAATCGCAAAGATTTTTGATGTGTGTAATTTTTCGTTAAATAAAAGCTTAAATTGATGAATTGCAATCAACGATGCACATAGGGGTATTTGGCCGATTTATGCGGCCAAAATTATTTTTATGAATATTTCAACTCGAAATGTTTAGAAAAGACGTGTTTGACATGTAGAACTGTAAAATCAAGTAAATATAAGGGGAGGACGTCCAATTCTTCCATCAAAATAAATAAAATAAACTTGCTTAACGTTTGACATCGACAGACTCCATCTTGCCGTGGTCCGATTGTAGGAACAAGCATATTTACGTTTTCGTCTCGGCGAGGAGAAGGTTAATATCTAGGTTAAAATATTAAAAGAGTTGCCACCTGTTAAAAATTCTTGTCCAATTAATTAAATGAATTGCTAAAATATGGGTATCAATGGAAATGGGTTTGAGAAGGCTTTATCTCTAAGCAACCTCCCAGGGTTGCCACCGGTTTAAAAAATCAAATTCAATTTTAATTTAGAGAATTATGTACTATCACAGTATAGGTAAGAAAATGCAATAAAACTACATTATTGTAATAATAACAGTAATATAACAGTCATTTTTTATTCTTAAGAGGATGTTGTAAGTATTAACTTGGAGTAAATTAGCGTCCTCAATTACTGAAATATGTTCAACATATTGCTTTTCCATACTAATGTTATTAAGTGCACCGAGTTTGGTAAAAATTGATAAATCGGTTAGAGATATACATTTGGGGTCATAAGTGGGCGGCGCCATGCCCATTATCTAAAAAAATTATAATAGTGTAATTTAGTGATAAGAGGTTATTCCAAGAATCGATTTTGAGTGAATTAGCTTCAGTAGTTTCTGATTTGGCGCATTTTTCGTGTTTCTGTAAATTACCGTTCACGGATTTTTAGCAGATAGGTTAGATATAGCCTAAGCAAGGCTCGTAACGTGTTTGGTACCGATTGGTGAAGCGGATACTGAGATACAGCATTTCATCATAAGTGGGCGGGGCCACTCCCATTTTCCAAAAAATTTATAATAATCCTAATTTGTTCCAAAATTTTACTTCGCATACCAATTTTCAACAATTTGGATACATTATTTACTAAAATATCGTAGATTTATCCAAATTGACATTTATCTAAATTTAAAAGCTTGTAGACCCAAACTATTTCTTTAATCATCACTTATATAACACCAATGAAAAGTAAAACAATTGTTTATTCTGAAATACATAAAATAGTTGGGTTCGCCTTACATTCCCGCAGATTTCCAGCAACGGGACCGAAAGGTCGTAGAAAACGTGACTTTTGCTCATATCTCGAATACTATTATTTTTTTAATTAATTAGATTTACATTCTGGTTCAGCGGCCGCAAATTCATCTAAAAAGTTTAATTTTACTGTTAAAATAGATCTAAAGTAGTGTAACTATATACCAGTTGCGCTTTTATATTTTTCTTTAATAAATTTTCTAAGTAAAGAAATACCACTTATCTGCCATTTTCTGCGGACAATCTTTTCACACTACATTAGCCAAATTTCTAAGCTTTCAATTAAATAAAGAGTAATAACGCGATCTCTCCCGGATATACAACAAATTCCCCAATATTCATCAAAAAATTAAAAAAAAAAACTCTGAAAACCGCTATTTTCGTTACATTTCAATTGAACTTCNTTCATCAAAAAATTCAAAAAAAAAAACTCTGAAAACCGCTATTTTCGTTACATTTCAATGGAACTTTNGTAAATTACCGTTCACGGATTTTTAGCAGATAGGTTAGATATAGCCTAAGCAAGGCTCGTAACGTGTTTGGTACCGATTGGTGAAGCGGATACTGAGATACAGCATTTCATCATAAGTGGGCGGGGCCACTCCCATTTTCCAAAAAATTTATAATAATCCTAATTTGTTCCAAAATTTTACTTCGCATACCAATTTTCAACAATTTGGATACATTATTTACTAAAATATCGTAGATTTATCCAAATTGACATTTATCTAAATTTAAAAGCTTGTAGACCCAAACAATTTCTTTAATCATCACTTATATAACACCAATGAAAAGTAAAACAATTGTTTATTCTGAAATACATAAAATAGTTGGGTTCGCCTTACATTCCCGCAGATTTCCAGCAACGGGACCGAAAGGTCGTAGAAAACGTGACTTTTGCTCATATCTCGAATACTATTATTTTTTTAATTAATTAGATTTACATTCTGGTTCAGCGGCCGCAAATTCATCTAAAAAGTTTAATTTTACTGTTAAAATAGATCTAAAGTAGTGTAACTATATACCAGTTGCGCTTTTATATTTTTCTTTAATAAATTTTCTAAGTAAAGAAATACCACTTATCTGCCATTTTCTGCGGACAATCTTTTCACACTACATTAGCCAAATTTCTAAGCTTTCAATTAAATAAAGAGTAATAACGCGATCTCTCCCGGATATACAACAAATTCCCCAATATTCATCAAAAAATTAAAAAAAAAAACTCTGAAAACCGCTATTTTCGTTACATTTCAATTGAACTTCTGCTTAAAAAAAATTATTCAGAAATAAATAAAACACTTAAATGCATTATTACCTTCTGTATGCCGATCCATCACTTAACTAAAACCGTCACGATCTTTCTAGATCTTTCTAGAGAGCGAAAATTATTTTTAAGCAGCGTTAGAATATTCTGTTTCCGGTCAACGGTGAGCATTCGCTGTGCAAGTTAAAAAGGGGGTGATGGGGACTGGGAAATGTTATTTCGAATATTCTCTATCAAATGTGACTAATTTTTTAAGTATCCTTAAAAATTTGGTTGTTTTGCGATGGTAGATATCTTCTTAAAATATTAATTTTACTTCAATTTTTAATCTTTTATGCCGCATAAATCTGCGGTTATCAAAAATTTACTGATGTCGAAAGAGATTTCATTTCACACAGCAGATTGGCAAAATTGTGTCACCATAGTAAAAATATTATCCAGCAGCTTTCCCCATAGAACTTTGTTACCGATTCACACACGCCCTAAGTATAATAGTAACAGGTATAAGCGCCATATTTCATCTAAATCCGTGCAACCGTTTCTGAGTGAAAAGAGGTCTCGCATAGTGCCGGTTTTTAATATCATCAAATTCCAATCACCCTGTACCGATAAAAAAAAACGGAATCACACGAAACTTTGCACATTTATTTGTTTTTATCCCGGGAAGTTTATAGGCATAGAGAAAAATCGGCAGTACTGGAGAAGGGGGCGTGGCACCTCCCATACGAACTAAAATTTTCATGTTGTATATCTCTTAAAATATTTGTGGTAGAGTACTGGAACTTGGTGTCGAAATAAACGAAATTAAATCCATACTCATGGGAAGAAATGGGAGGAATTGGAAAATCGGGCGAGAAATATTTAATCAGCTATAACTTCGAAACCGTAAGTCACATGAACTTGAAACTTGGTATGCAGACATATCTACATAGGAGCTTATAGTAGGATATACATAAATGAGTTTGTAAAAGGGGGCGTGGCACATTTCATAGGCGTGGAATTTTTAATCAGCCATAACTTCGGAACGATAAGTCACATGATCTTGAAATTTGGTATGCAGACATACCTATGGTAGGTGCTTATTATATATATATATATATATACATGAGTTTGTAAAAGGGGGCGTGGATCATCTCATAAGCGTCGAATTTTTAATCAGCCATAACTTCTGAAAAGTCACATGAACTTGAAATTTGGTATGCAGACATATCTATGGTACAAAGGTGCTTATAGTAAGGTATGATTATATAAATGAGTTGGTAAAAGGGGGCGTAGTGCATAACACAGGCGTTGAATTTTGTTTCAGCCATAACTTCGGAACCACAATTTACATGGCCACTTTAATTCTTTCTGATATGCCTTTCGAATTTACAGGACTCAGGTTACAGTTCTCTTAGCTTTTGCAATGACAATAAACAAGAATTCCTTAAAGCAAAACCCAAAACTTTATCGAAAATAAAATCCTTGATAATTGCATTGGAAAATGCCTTCATGTTAATAGAGACTTTGAAGTATTAAAAACATGCTGGTAAATAATATTAGAGTTATTATTCCAAAGAAAATAGATAGCTAAGATTTTAATACTACAGCTTTGGTATTTCTACTATTACTTACATACATATCGTCGTTTAAAGTGCAAAACCGCGTAACTGACATTTGCTGCCAATACTTGCATTTGCACACACAAACTCTTGGCTCAATTCTTATCCATTCGTCCTGAAATATACTTGCCAGAAATGCGATTGCTTTATAAAAAAGAGAACTATTTTGAAATATGAGTGTTTTTACTATCTAAAAAAAATTTATGCAGACTCACATACGCAGTTTTACATTAACTTGATTCGCGGTCCTATAGTAAAATTAGAGCAGAAATAAAATACATCTTAACATACATAAATTATTTTTCATATTGGTATAAAGACGTCGGGTGAAACCCGCAGGTAAAAGCTAGTAATTTATAAAACTTGTTAAATAATGTGGATTTAACTTTTTTAACGGGTGGCAACCCTCTTTAAACAAACCAAAAATATTGTTAATGTTAAAACTAAAGAATACTATTTTGTTTGGCAAGTTTTATTTTTATTATTATTTATTATAATAAAAATTACAATAAATGTGAACACTAGCTACCAGGGCTAGTCATGTCAGAGACGTTGTCAGTTGAAAGCTCCCCTGCTATTCTAGTTCGATGACTGAAAAGCTGAAAGCTCTTTAAACTCACCACGCAATGAAAGGCAAAACAGCTGACTGGTGAGTTAAGTCAAACAGATGGCAACTGAGAAGAAGTAAGTTTGTTTACATATTTTATGTAAAAAAATACTTAAAATGTGTTATTATTTTGATAGTGTGATAAAAACTTCTTTATTTTCTTTTCTTTTGAAATAATATGTGTGCTACATATAAATGTATGTAGGTGCGTAAAGTTTGAACGGAGTTCCAAGCAGGCAAAAACAATCCAAAGGAGCTGCGGCATATGCAATTGCTTTGGGAGGAGGTAGCACAAGGGCTGAATTGCTTAAATGATCCAATACGCACGGCAATCAAATGGAAAGAGGTTATATATACATACACTGCCGGAACAAACTATTGGCACAGCAAATTTTTCACAATATATGCAACAATTTTCATTCTAATATTTTTCTGCTAATTTCGTATAAAAGTATAGTTCATACTACAACAACATAAAAAAATATTTCTTAACTTTGTGGAAAACTCACGAAAATGCAGCAAATTTTCATGAAAATTTTCAACTTTTTAATCAGATTTTTTAGAATTTTTTTGAGTATGCAGATTTGTAGCGCAATTTTATTATAATAAAGTGCAAGTTTTAAGTAGCTAGGAATTACCGTTGATTTTTGGCAATTTGTTTTCACGCAGTCTCTTCCATACACAATATTTTTTACTTTATATGGAAAAAATGCAAAACATCTTCAAAAAAAAAAAAAAATTCTCAAAAATCAACACGATTTTTTACTAACTCCGAACTTGCATTTTCTTTACTAGAATTTAATGGGCTGCAAAATTGCATACTCAAAAAATTTGTAAAAAATCTGATTAAAAAGTTGAAAATTTTGATGATTTTGTGCGAGTTTTGCACAAAGTTTAGGAATTTTATTTTTATGTTATTTGTTGTTGAATAAACCATTTTTTTATACAAAATTGGCGGAAAAATATTAGAATAAAAATTGTTGCATTTTGGAGATGCCCAGCCCTAGTGTATCACTCTATTTTTCCATTTTATCAATTTTTTCTTTTTTTTTCCTGGGCTTTCATAGCCAATGCATAAATTAAAATTTCTTCCTCCATAATTTCACAAATTTCAAAAATGAACACAATAAACAGCTGTCAGCACCTTTTCTAGAACTGACAAGACTGTCAGCAAAACAAGCTTTTGTTAGAGCGCTAGAATAGCGAACAATGACTAGCTGTCATGAAAGTGACTGTGGTGAACTTGTCAGTGATGCGGAATCGGGCTGTTAATCTTCTATATATATAAATGTGAATGTCTGTTGGTTTATTACCTTATAACTTTTGAGCCACTACACGGAATCGCACGAAGCTTTGCACACTTATTTGTTTTTAACCCGGGAAGGTTATAGGTATGGTTTTGTTTGCAAATACGGTGTCGATTTTGCGAGGGGGCGTGGCACTTCCTATAGGCCTATAAATTTTTAATCAGCTAAAACTTCGGAACCATAAGTCACATGAACTTGAAATTTGGTATGCAGACAAATCTATGGTAGATGCTTATAGTAAGGTATATATAAATTTATTTTGTAGGAGGGGGCGTGGCATATCTCATAGTCGTAGAATTTTTAATCAGCCATAACTTCGGTACCATAAGTTATATAAAATTGAAACTTGGTATGCAAACATATCAATCGTAGGTGCTTATAGTAAGGTTTATATAAATAAGTTTGGAAATAGGGGCGTGGCACATAATATAGGCGAGGAATTTTTTATCAGCCATAACTTCGGAACCACAAGTCTCATGACTCCTTTAATTCCTTTTCATATGCCTTTCGAAGTTAAAAGACCTCAGTTTCCAGTTCGCTTAGCTGTTGCAATGACAATAAACAAGAATGCCTCAAAGTAAAACCCGAAACTTTATCGGAAATAAAATGTATGATAATTGTATTGGAAAATGCATTTATGTGAATAGATACTTTGAGGTATTAAAAAAATTATGTGAAATCATATTAGAGTTATTATTCGTAGGAAATTAGATAGTATTTCTTCTATTATATAATTTATTGGAGATATTTTGACCTAAATAAAAACACCTGCAGTGCCAAAAAATTATTATTGCATTTCATTCCATAACACCCAAGCTATACAGCTGTCCTACCATATGCTGCTATCAGGGCTATAGTAAAATCAGAGCAGAGAGTATAACATCTTTACATAAAGTATTTTTCATATTTGTATAAAGACTTGGGGTGAAACCCGCCCGTAAAAGCTAGTATTTCATAAAGCAGATAATCAGCCCATAAGTATGTCGCTAAACAAAAAACGTAATATCACAATATTGTTAAATTTATAAGGGCAGAAATCTATCGGATATCCAATCGGATATCTGAATCCGGCTCTTATTTTTTACATGGTATCCGGAATCCGGTTATCCGGCAAAATCTCTATCCCTAGTATTCAGTTTCGTAGGTTTCAGGAATATTCAGACTACGATGGATTCAGCGATAGCCCACATTAGCAATTGAAAAGTGAATTAATTTTAGAAATGTTAAAAATCATGCAAGCTTTACGCCCGCCGCACGCTCGCATTGGTTTTCACGAGCCGCGCGCGAGTGGCAGAATTTGAAAACTATGACATTATATCGAACCAGGGATGAAAAAGTAGGTACAATAGTACCTTTCTCCTACGTTTGCTGACCTATAGGTATATTAGGTACAATCACTATATTTTAGGTATGTACTATCATCTTTTGATCAGATGTATTTTTATTTATTTTTTCTTTTTCCTTTACAGTGCTAATATGTATATTTACTTGTAGGCGTGGGCGGAGCTTCGCTTTTGAAGAATAAACAATTCTAAAGAAAAGTGATCAAAAGCAAGAGATTACCAAAATCATATTCTCTATTCTCTTAAACATTTTACATTGCATCTAGAACAGTCACTACGAAAAATTAACATTTTACTTAGCTATCCTCAAGCTCGTAATTCTTGCTATATTTTTTAATTCGATAAAACATCATTGAGAAAACGGCTATTTTCGTAGGTTATCTCGATACTGTCAAAGTGAACTATTTACCGTTTAAAAGGGAGAACACAATAAAGAAAGGAAACAAAATTCGGGTTAGAATTTTGATGCTGCAAAGTTTGCTGCTTTTAACTTTTCATTAGGCAAATTAGGAAATTTATTCCTTTCGGGTTTTAAATTGAAATTAATATAGTTCGACATTAATATAGTGACAGCGAAAGCGCAAAGCCCAATCCATCGACCACCCTCGAACCCCCTCAAGATTCAGGTCAGCGGACTTGTCCTCCAAACTTACCATTGACGACTCCGATGCCTTGGAGTGAAGAGTGCGCTTCACCTGTGCCGTATCACATTTCACGCCCAACGCTTACATCAAATTCGGTAAGCGATAACATATCCCCAAATATAGCGGCAACAACAACTAGTACAGTGACATGTTTCACTACCTCTATCGCGCCAACAACAACAGCAAACACACCGGTACCTGCCGACTGCACAGCGGTGTCAACAGCCCGGCCTATTCTTGCTGCACAAGCACAAATTAACTTGAGTGCAAGCACTGGCAACAAAGGTAAAGCGCAAGAAAGGTTGAAAAACGAAACAACTAAAAATGCGGCCATACAGACTGGAATGGACCGCTATGTTACAATAAAAAGAAAACTTAGTCCGCAAAATTCAACGGGCAGTAAGACAAAAATAAACCGCCTTACCTCAACTCAGCAAGTCAGTACGAATAGATTTGCACTGCTAAGTGACAATGCCGATGATGTGAATAGCCAAATTTCTGAAGGTGCTGCAAAAGCTACTAATGCCAAACCTCCGCCCATTTTTATAAGAGAAGAGAATCCAAGCGCTCTTGTAAAAAAATTCTCACAGCTAATCGGTAGTAATAAGTTTCATATTATCCCACTATCTAAGGGAAATATTCGCGAAACTAAAGTACAAATTTATTCCGAACAGGATTTTCGAACAGTGTCCAAATACCTGAATGACACAAACACAAAATTTTATACATACCAACTTAAAAGTGCAAAAGGTCTACAAATTGTAATTAAAGGTATCGAACCAAGCGTTGAAGCTGTGGAAGTTTTGGAAGCACTTAAAGAACAAGGTTTCAATCCAAAAGCTGCTGTGAATATTTTTAATAGGAACAAAACCCCTCAACCTATGTTTAAAGTTGAGCTCGAGCCTGAAAACAAACCTCTGGGCAAAAACGATGTGCATCCAATTTATAAATTACAATATCTGCTGCATCGTAGGATAACTGTGGAAGAACCGCATAAGAGAAATGGCCCTGTACAATGCACCAACTGCCAGGAGTATAGTCATACTAGGTCTTACTGCACGCTTCGCTCAGTGTGCGTAGCTTGTGGAGAGCTACATGTCTCTGCCACTTGCACATCAAACAAAGAAGACCCGCGTGCAAAAAAATGTGGTAACTGCGGTGGAAATCACACAGCAAACTACAGAGGCTGTCCAGTCTATAAGGAGTTAAAAGACCGGATCAACCAACGCGTGGCTTCCATACGTACTCATAATGTACCGAATGCCTTTGTACCCTCCCAAACGAATCTTGACGTCTTCTTCGCCAAAAGAGCCACGTCGCCAACAGTTCTATCAAACACCGTCAATGGCGTGTCGTTTGCAAGTGCCTTAAAATCAGGCTTAGAAAACCGTGCCCCTACAAAAACTGCACCTCAAGTTGCGCCGCAAGAACAGCATCCCCATGCACAATATGGTAAACAATCCAATATCGAAGCTATGATAGCGTCGATGCAACAAAGCATGATGAATTTCATGACTTTCATGCAAAACACAATGCAAGAACTCATGCGAAATCAAAATACGCTGCTCAACCTGCTTGCTACTCAGCAAACAAGATAATAGGGCTGTCAAAATTTCTTAAGGCCAAGGAAATTGACATAATGCTCCTTGCTGAAACACACCTAACTAATAGATATAATTTTGACATTTCGGGATATACCTTTTATTGCACGAATCATCCAGATGGAAAGGCGCATGGCGGAACTGGTATTTTAGTCAGAAACCGGATTAAACCCCATCATTTGATTGGAATTGCCGAGAATTATCTGCAAGCAACATCAATATGCGTACAAACAAAGCAAGGTGATATTACGCTGTCCGCGGTTTATTGTCCCCCGCGTTTCACGATAACAGAAAAACAGTTTATGGATTTCTTCAGTTCGCTGGGAGAGCGCTTCCTTGCTGCAGGTGATTATAATGCGAAGCACCCTCACTGGGGCTCACGCTTGTCCAACCCTAAAGGCAAGCAATTATATAACGCGCTTATATGTAGAAGAAACAAACTCGATTACGCTTCTCCTGGAAAGCCTACATTATGGCCGGCAGACCCGCAAAAGTTGCCAGATTTGATTGACTTTGCGGTAACAAGGAAAATTCCTCGCGGCCTTATTAGTACAGAATCAGTTGCAGATCTCTCATCAGACCACTCACCTGTACTTTTCACCTTGTGGCATCAGCCGCAAGAAAAAGAGTCACCCTATATGCTCACGACAAGGGCTACAAATTGGTTAAAGTATAAAAAATATATCAGTGCGCATATAGACCTCGATCCAAATTTAGATACGCCGACCGATATTGAAAACTCCATAGCCGCTCTTGAATCTACACTTAGAGCAGCCGCTAGCATTTCCACACCCCAGAAAGGTTATGTGCAA